TGTCAAGGGTTTAGGGTTTGAAGGTGCTCCGGTGAAGGGCTTAGGGTTTAGGGTTTAGGGTTTAGGGTTTGCAGTTACCCGGATGTTTTCGCGCTTAGCGGCGATGACCTTCTCCTTTATGCCGCCGACCTTGAGAACTTTCCCTGAGCTCACAAGGGTTTAGGGTTTAGGGTTTAGGGTTTAGGGTTTGCAAGGGCCTAGGATTTGTTAGTTAGGGTTTGGGGTTAGCGCCTGAGGGTGTATATATATACAGTGGGCGAGACTGCCGAAACACCGCTGCGGGTTCAAACTAGGGTTTAGGGTTTAGGGCTTAGGGTTTAGGGTTTACCTGTGAGGGTGAGCTCCCCAGTCATCGCTAAGTCGGGTTTAGGGTTTAGATTCATAGCAAGAGACAATAAAGAAGAAGCAAGAGTAATACCAGCAGAGGGGCCGTCTTTAGGTGTTGCACCTGAACAAAAAATTAGGGTTTAGGGTTTAGGGTTTAGGGTTTGCGAAGATAATCGGGGATGCATAGACGGACGCAATACTGCCTAAACCCCCTCAAACATAAACCCTCGCTGTAAACCCTCATAACAAGCCCTAAACCCTAAACCATAAACCCTAATCGCAGCCGCAGCATCAGCAGTCCCAGCAGCAGCAGCGTCATTTTGTGCAGCAGCAGCAGCAGCAAAACCATCGTCAACAGCAGCGGCTGCAGCAGCATCAACATGATCAGCAGCAGCAAAAGCAGCAGCAGCAGCAACAGGCCTAGAAGCAGCAGCAGCAGCATCATCCCCACTGTCATCAGCAGCAAAAGCACAAGTAGCAGCAGCAGCAGCAGCAGAAGCTCTAACAGCAGCAGCATCACCACCACCATGCGCCTTAGCAAAGCAGCAACAGCAGCAGTAAAAGCGGCAGAAGCAGCAGCAGCAGCAGCAGCAGCAATAAAGGCAGGAGCATCAGCAGCAGCAATAACAGCAGCAGCAGCAGCAGCATCAGCAATGAAAGCAGGAGCAGCAGCATCAATAAAAGCAGCAGCAGAAGCAGCAGCAGCAATAAAAGCAGCAGCAGAAGCAGCACTAAAAGCAGCAGCATCAGCATCAGCAATAAAAGCAGCAGCAGCAGCATCAGCAATAAAAGCAGCAGCAGCAGCACCAGCAGCAGGATCAGCAATAAAAGCAGCAGCAGCAGCAGCAGCAGCAGCAGCAGCAGCAGCAGCAGCAGCAGCAGCTGACCCTCTGGAACATGAAGGTGGATGGCGTGTTGCTCTAAGAATGTATTTTCTTTTTCTTTTTTGTTTAAAAAACATCGCGCAAAGCTCATCGCAACTTCGCAGCTTTCGTTCATTACACCCCCCAGCTGACCCGTCACCTTTAGACTCCCCAAACCCCTAAACACCAAACCCCAAACCCTAAACCCTAAACCCTAAACCCTAAACCCTAAACCCTAAACCCTGAGGATTAGGTTTCTGCGGTTTTTTCTGCGTCGATTAGTCACAACAGGCCAGCAACTGTGAACAAAGATTACAGGATGCAGCCAAAGGGTTTAGGGTTTAGGGTTTAGGGTTTAGGGTTTACGGTCTCAAGTCTCCTTTACGAGAGTTGTTTCTTCCGTCTTCAGATGCACTTCGACCCACCGCCTCTACAAATATCACAGCGCCTCCAGTGGCTGTCCAAGCCAAGCCCATTATAACTCCTGAAAAGACAAACCCTCACGAGGGTTTATTAGGGTTTAGGGTTTACTGGGGTTCATTAGGTTTTATTGGGGTTTAGGGTTTAGGGGATGTAGCTAGAAGAGAGTTTAGAGTTTAACGCTCATATGCATATTCTTTCCTGGGTATACGACGGTCGATGTCTAGGGTTTAGGGTTTAGGGTTTCTGGCGGCTCCGTAAACCCTAAACCTCCTGCTAACAGTCTTGCAAGGAGGTTGTAGCTACAGCTCAGTACCGAGGCTGTTGGAAGCTCCTCTCTAGGGTTCTAGGGTTTAGGGTTTAGGGCTTAGGGTTTAGGGTTTAGAGGTACCGGGCTGTGTCTTTTCAAAGAGGCGAGTCGACGTCCACGGCGGCTGATCGACGAAATCTATCAAATTTTTTTCTGTTACAACCACCTCCTCCGCTTCTTTCCTGCACGTAAACCCTAAACCCTAAACCCTAAACCCTAAACCCTCAGCCCTGTGTTGAGTAGCAGTCTGCATATTCGGGGTTGGGGCTTCGTGCGTCGGTGTTTCTCCGCTGTGCATTTTAGCAATGCATTAGGGTTTAGGGTTTAGAGGGCGGCCGAAGGGTTTGGTGATGCCTCCAGCTAGGGTTTAGGGTTTAGGGTTTAGGGTTTACTTGACGATGGAGAGCGCTGCTCTTCTAAAGAGCTTCTCTATGCATTTTGACAGAGACCGAACCCCGGCCTCTCTCGCGTAATCTCTAACTAAGACCTCCAGAGCTGAAGGCTGTATAGACACCCGAGACCCCTTAAGCCCTGAACGCAAACCCTAAACCCTAAACCCTAAACCCTAAACCCGGAACACCAAAACACCCAATACCCAATACCCACAACCCTAAACCCTAAACCCTACGTCTTCAGAAACCCCGAGAACAGCCAGAAGAAGACCCGCAACGCCGTCCAAACGCTTCCTATGGAGCACAAGTAACAGCTTAGGGTTTAGGGTTTAGGGTTTAGGGTTTAGGGTTTAGTGCTTGCCTGTTGCTTCTGCGGTTTTCGGAATCAAGTACTGCTGAGCGATCGAAATCTTCTCTTCTTGAATATACCCCGCAATGCGAATCAGCTCCATTCGATCCAACAGCGGCCCTGAGAGTAAACCCCAAACCCTAAACCCTAAACCCTAAACCCTAAACCCTAAACCCTAAACCCTAAACCCTAAACCTTA